ACCAACACTTCTGGTGAGGTATTCTGCCTGTGAGCACTGTGAACCGGAAGCAAGAATGTGAAAATCTTGCAATTCAGAAGCTCACATTTTAGAAATCACCACACCCAACAAACATCTCAAATGTTGACAGAGTATTTTCACCAGAAAGGAGCAGGCTTTTGGATTTACCAAATATTAGCAAAATACTTTTACTCTTGAAAATCCCTAAATTATTTACTCAGACACTGATCAGGGAAATACTTGCATAAGTTATTAACCTATGCATTCAAGAAGTCCCAAGCAGATTTAAAGACAAACTCAGCATTACAAAAAAAGCATTTTAAATGTTCTTATAGAGGAAAGAATAAAGAGACAGTATTCATGGGCACACAATTATGTGAAATAGTAAGAATAATAGCATTAGTAGAAGTAGTTACACCTATTAATGTTATTTAAAATAATATTTTCCTGTTTAATAGTTTTTTATTCTGTAGTGCCATGTGACATTAAATAAGGGAGTGCCTCTGAGTCATCACTTAAAGAAATGCTAAAAGTAATTCCTGAAATATGTGTCACTGACAAAAGACTAAACAACATATTTTCATGAGAGTCTTTGTTTGTTGATTCCATAATCTCAGCAAACCATTTGCAGTATGTTCATATGATGTATTTTCAAATGGAAATAGGATTCTTAGACATTTCAAGATTTTAATGAAGAAGAAAACTTATTTGGACTTGAATATATCTTCAACGTAGTTGTTCTTTCCTGTTTCATTTTTTCTCTTTCTGGTATTGGCACTGCCCTGGCAAAGCACTGAACAGGTTTTTCTCCTGATTTTTGCTTTTAAAAAGTAAAACTAAAAATTACATAAAGCTCTTAACAAGGAAATTTTACAAAAAAGGTTTCTGAATTACTAGTATAATTGCATTTTGTGCCTCGAAATAAATGGTAGAAAAGTAAAAGAATATGTTTCTTTAATTTTTTTTACAAAGTAAAGGAGGAAAAATTATGTAAGAGTTATAAACAGATCACTTGAAATTTATAAATAGATCACTTGAAACTATGGCTTGTTCCAGGACATTATCACAGCTACTCACCAGATGTTCAATTAAATACTCTCAAGCAAATATTTTTAATCAATACTTATCTTTAACAAAAGCCAACATGAAACAAGTGATTAAGTGTGAACTCAGCAATTCAGGCAAAAACTGTGACTCTGCCAAAAACAATAGTTACTCTTCATTTAGAGACATGCAGATGAGATTAAAAATATGACCTAACAACTGAGCTGTAATAAAAGACATTAACACAAAAATATTCTAATATCCTGAAGTCCTACGATTTCAATGTAGTTTCTTTTCTGAATCTGAAAATACCTGATTCTTCTGTATTTTCGTATCTATCTTGAATAAGGTACTCTACATCTTTAAAACATCTGTCACTTTTCTGAGAAATCATTCAGTTACATTCATTATCTTTTTTAAGCAAAGTAATTGAAAATCTTACCTTACATGCACAATGCTTGCCATTACTTATGACAGTCTCTCCTAAACTGAACAAAAAAATATTAAGACAAATCAGTGAAGTTACCCTAAAGTGGTAGTTCATCTTTTACTTGAAGAAATGCAAATGTTTTAAACGGGTTTCAAATTTCTGTGGAAAGGATTGTACACAATGAAGTCCTGAGCTAAGTATTTGGGAATGTCTACAGCACAAAGGGCAGCCAACACATCACTCTTTTACTGCCTGGATTTAATAAATCATATTTTAACTGCACAGCAGAATTTATATACTACTTCTTGCATCCTGAGGGAAATTACTGCTTATCACCTCTACATGACACATCAAACACATATATTTTTATTGTGATAAACTCTGACAGATTTTCTTATATGCTACTTTTGAGCATTGGTATATATTTGGCATGAGTGATCTTGGCTACTTGAAAGAAAAACTAGTATTAATCGATGTCTTCAAATTTTTACAAAGGTTTTTATCATTAAAATGAAGATGTTTGTATTGTGGTGGTAGTGCACTAGGACAGGCATGGAGGCAATTTTGGAATATGTCATAAAAGTAAGTTCAAAATAGAAAACTGAAAAACATTATTTTAAATTAGTACTTTGTATTACATAGAAAATGTTTACTGGGGGGATAGTAGGAGTCTTGTGGTCTGAGACCACCTGTAGGAACACAGGTACTGAGAGTGAGACAATCATTCAGTACAATGATTTTTATCCCTGAAGAATGTCAAAGTACAAGAGAATGGTCCAAAAAAAGAAGAAAATTAAATGTAGTCCACATAAGCTTAATTACCACTATGCGGCACTAACAGTTTTCACACACCCAAGTCCACTACTTTTGTACCTAAAAACTGGATCTGATATTTTAACAGAAAAAAATTATTAAAGAATTTAAATTGTCTGTGCTCTGGCTGAATAAATGAAACCTCAGCTTCTAATGTACCACTGGGAGATACACTGTTTAAAGAATATTCAGAATACACTGTTCAACAGTACCTTACCCTGGTACAGCCAGATAATGTTCCAAATTTGTCTTGATAAGGTGGTTCATCTCCATCCCTGTCTGAAGTTGGAATACACAATAGCTTTTGCTATGAAGAGATTTGAAAGCATTTGGGAGCAGAGGATTAATACAGTTTTAATTCAGTTTAATACAGATTTAATTCAGTTTTTTAATCCATTTTTTTCTTTAAAATTAATAGCTAAAGGGTACTAAGCACGTGTACCTGAGAGGAACATACTCAGCTTCTTGTGAAATTCTAAACAACTTTCATTATTCTGTACCTCTCAAAATCACATTTTTATTTTTTTCTGAAGTACCACATGGAAAATCATAGTTTTCCAATATGAAAATTACAAGAGTTTGACTAGTGCATCAGTTGACACTCTCTCAAGAAGACACAAGTTTTGATTCATAGTTCAATCTCAGGAAGGTGAAAAGATTTTCATGGTTATCTATACATGACATTAAGAGGGACAAAAAAGTTTTTCTTCTTCTTTCTATGCACAGAAATAGGCAGAGGTGACAGATTTCAGGAAGGGATGGTTAAAATACTGAGAATATTGACCAAATTTCTTCTCCCATGCAGTCACATGCACAGTTTGGAGGAATGGGGCATGAAGCAAATTAATCCTCCACTGCAAAAAGAAGGAAAGAAAAATGTGTTTCTGCAGCAGCACAGCTATGCTGCAGCCTTCGAATAAGACTTGTAATAAACTCAGAATCCCTCCCACAAAGTTTTAAGATCTGATCTTTATCCTTCACTGGAATATCAGTGTCTAACCCAGAGTAAAATAATGAAACTTCTTTCAAACCAACTGCCAGAGCTGGACCTTCCATTCTGTAACTACTTAAGATAAGGCTAGTTGCTGTCCTAGAATAATCATATGTCTCAGAAATACAGGTCCTCAGCTAGTCACCTTCTCATCCCACAGTCTGAAAGATGTGAGGTTACCCATGAGGAGGAATTATCCAATAACCACAAAACAGGACTGTGAGAATGTAAGAAAAATGTAAAGAAGGGAAAAAGAGAAAGATATATAAAAACTATTCTTACTTCTAAGTCTCAGAAAGTATCTTAAGGTGAAGCTTCAAGTTGTGCTGTATTAGATCAAAATTTTCAATAAATCTAAAGAAGCTCAAATCTGCCAGCATGAGTTGATCATGAACTTGAATATTCTAGATGTGCCATGGGCTCAAATTCTGCAGTTTTTTCCCAGCTCTGCTTCAGTCTTGCTTGGGTGACTCAGTTCTTCATACTGATAAACCCTTCTGCTATGAAAGTATCCTAAATGAAACAGTGTATTTTATCAGGTAAACTTGGATTTTAAAAAGTTTATGTGGGTTGGAAAGCATATGGTGGTAAAGTGACAACCACTTTTCTACCTGCAATACAGGTGAGCAGATGGGGCAAAGAGGTGGTGAATTTGGGGCTAGTATTGTGAACTAGAGGTGAAAGACTTCCATTTTAGGGTCATTTCTCAACTGTGGTAACTGCGATATTATAAATATTATGCACATTTGGCAACCTGACCATCAGTGATCTTGACTGTAAAGTGGCAATAGTAACACCTACTTCACAAGCTGTGCTACAAATAGGGGGGAAAGGGGCTGGGGGACGGGGTGTCTGTGGAGAAAAGTATTTTACAAATGCTGAGTACTATTTTTACCTTCCTAGTCAGAGACATAGAACAGCTGCACAGTGGAAAAAAAAATTTAAAAAAAAAGGGGAAGAATTGGTTTAAGCTGAAACACAACAGCCAAGAAATGTCTCGCCAGGAAATCACCAAGGCATTTAGCCTGTTGCTGACAGCTCATCCAAGGCAGACCAATATCCCAAGACAACCCTGCTTTGCCAAAAAAAAAAAAAAAAGTTTTGCATTTTTAAGAGCAAATTACTGTTTGTTTGTTTTTTACTTTGTGTTAACTTTATTTAACGTATTTTTTAATATTTTCTATAAAATTTTATACAATTTTACTTTTTAGTTGTTGTTTTTATGACTTCACCCTGTGGTAAAAAAAAAAAGGTTTATGCTGTAACTCCAAGTCTTCACCAACAACAGGCCTCAGAGGCACCCTCAGAGAGCTCTAGAGCTCGGCAACGGAACTCAGGAGGACGTGTTTTCGTTCGGATACCGGCTGCGATTTGGGTTTTTAAGTGGCAGTGCGCGGTTTACAGCGGTGCAGAGGGGATGGACAGCAGCGCGGTGCCCGGCGCCGGTGTCCCTGATGGGACGGGAAGGCACGGAGAGAGCGAGGCGCCCAAGCATGGCTTCCACCCTGGCACGGGGACCGACAAGGACCTGCGAGGCGAGGCGGTGCCGGGGCCCACCCTGTCCCTTGCTCCCGGCTTGTAGAAAGCACAGGCACGCCAGCCCAACTGGCTCCCCCCTCCCGCTCCCCCGCCGCGGCCCCGCCCCGTTGCGAGGAAGCGGCGTCCCCGGTTGCCACGATGCAGCGGGGCTGGGGCTGGGGCCCGGCACTGCCCGCGGTCCCGGGGCGCTGGATGGAGCTCAGCGGGAAGGGCGGCGGGGCGGCGCGGGGGCAGCACCTCCCCGGCGCCCCGCAGGACAGCGCGGGAGGGAGGCGGAGCGCCCCTGGGTATCCTTCTGCGAGCCGTGCGGGGCTGGGGCCGGGGCCGGGGCCCCGGGCGGGCTCTCGGGGTCGGCTACGCTGTGTGGGGCCCGTGTGGACCCCGTGTGGGGCAAGGGCGGCGGTGGCCCAGCCCCCGCCCCGCTCCTCGGTCAGGGACCGCCTCAGGGGTGGCCTTAAATTAAAATTTACACTTCGTGGGTTTTAAGCTGCTGTGGGAAATTCAAATTCTCAGGCAGCTTCGGAGTTTTCTTGTTTTCGTTCTTCTACGAGGCTCTGCTGCTGGGAACTGTGTTTTCCATCCCAAGTGCTACTTAGATCAGTCTTGCCTCCTGCCACTAATGATTTGTCTCCGTGGAGAGCTTTTATGCAGTAATGTTAATAAATTTCAGTGTAAACAACTAATACTTTAGATGTGTGGAGGGGGTGTTTTTGCTATTGAATCGTTTTCCCTGTGGTACATGTGTCCGTATGTTACAGATTTAGATAACTACAGAAATATGTCCCTACAAATGAACATAATAAAGGTGAGATTTTTCAGCTGGTGATCATCATTAAAGACGAGTGGAAAGCTTCTCTTAAAATCCCTTTAAACAGTAATATGCAATTACATTCTTTTCTGGATAAGCATAAAGTTAGTTATGATTATAACATACAGTGATGGGACCAACTATTGCATCCTTAGTCAAAAAAGGCATATCAGCATTTTGTATCTCATCAATAAAGTTTGCCCTTTCCCGAAAAGGGGAAATATAAAAATCAATCAAAAATTTAAAGTCAATCAAACAGGCTGTTCAATCCATTTTCTGTTGTCCTTAACACAATACTAGGGATAGAGCTTTAAAATTTCATTTTGAACAGGATTTAGAAGAAGAACGTCGGACATTGAAAGAGGATCAGAAATTACATCGGAGTAAGGCACAAAAATATTTGATAGAGACAAACAGAAGAAGAAGGTAACTAACTAAGGTTCCTTTGGTGGAAGATTTAAAAAAAAAAGAAAAAGTCAAAACCCTGAGATAGCTCAATATATCTCTACTATTTGCATGTTCACCTTGGTCTAGCAGAGTCTAGGATAAACAGTTTCACAAATCCAGTTTCTTGCTATAGGACAAATAAAATGTAGAAAGAACAATATTCTGATTTACTCACTAATTTTTGGAAACTCACTGTAGTCACCTCTTATTGTATAAAGTAAAAGTAAGTAGCACGTCCGTCTTGTGGCTCTGATCTGCATTTCTAGTATTATCCTGGGTTTTATTAGCTTCAATGGATGTGTGAAAAATGCACTCAGCTGCACAGAAAGGACTGGGAAGCTGGAAACTCTTGTTTCCTTCTGAAGTGTATGCTTTTCTGTCTGCACAGCATAACAGCTGCACAGCCTCCCCTTCGTGGTGGGGCTCTGTGCTCCCGCTTCCCAATAAACACAGAGCAACATCTTTCTAGTACAGGATTATATTTATAATAAAGTTATTCTGTACTGACATTTTAAACAGACCTTTGAATAGCCTGTGTTTCTGCATACATGAGAATGCAAAGCCATGAAATATTCTGTGACAAATGGATTAAGTAAATCAGACACTGAAATGTTTCAGTGAAGTGCTGTAAGTAGTTTTAATAGATTTTCTCCCTCACACTGGACTTGTGCTCACACATACAGGAGACTTGCCTGTGTATTCTGTAGAGGCAGATGGGTTCCTCCTTGCCAGTCCCCAGCCTCAGGCCAGCGTCCTCTGCCTCATGTTAACTCATTAACACTCATCCCCCACAGTTCCTGTGTCAGATGATTTCTGTTGTACGATGTTTACTTATTGACATATGTTCATAACTCCTAAGAGAGGTGGTATATATTTTTTATACTGCCATTTTAGCTTGACAGTATATGCTGTCAACATATGTTTTGAAATATAAAGAAAAGTGGAAGAGGAAATATAATCACCTGGGAGAGATTAAAGACTGCGACTCACAACCTTTGCAGACAATAAACTGAGTCTCAGTTGAAAAATTAAATATCTAATTTAGTTTTCTGGAGCAGTACCACTGAAACACTACACATCTCAGATGAACACTGTTTATTGTATTACTGGTCTTGAAATATTATACTCTACTGTAAAAGCAAATACCAGACAGCCTGCATAGTTTTGACAGACTGGTGTAGTTAAGCTAATACTCATTGATACATAAATACATTTCCATATGTATGTCATTGCAACCTTAAGAAAGACAGTATAAATCCAAGTTACTCAGGAGAGCCAGTTAAAAATTATAGGTATGGTATTCATAAAATGAAATTGTTTCAAATTGTGATAATTGAGAATGGCATAACTATTAGCATGATAAGCAGTTCAAATGGAAGTCTGGTGTGACAAGTCTGAGAAGGAGTTAGCTATCTAATGTTAGAAAGGTATTAAGTGCATACAGTTTTAATAAGATGTGAAATATAATTAAAAATTAAGGGTCATTGCATATATGGAGGAATGTAGTTTGACAATAAAAGATTCCTTGAATCTGAATATTTTTCCCAGACAGTTTTGCAGGTAGGAATTGATTAATCAACCACCAGGTCATGTCTCAAATCTGTGTATGAGCCAAGAACCATTAGCTTTGTTACACATGTAAAGGTAAGGGCTTGTTGTTGGCTCCTGTTGTACTTGTTGTCCAGCAGGGCCCCTACGTCTGGTGTTGTTCCTCCCCAAGTGCAGGACTTTGCACTTCCTCTTGTTCAACTTCATGAGGTTTCTGTCAGCACATTTCTCCAGCCTGTAGAGGTCCTTATGAATGCCAGCACAACTCTCTGGTGTATCCATCACTCCTTCCAGTTTGGTGTCATCTGCAGACTTACTGCGAGTACACTCTGTCCCATCGTCCAGATAATTTTTGGTCAACACCTGGCTGAACATGAGCCAGCAGTGTGCCCAAGTGGCCAAGAAGGCCAATGGCATCCTGGCCTGTATCAGCAATAGTGTGGCCAGCAGGACTAGGGCAGTGATTGTCCTGCTGCATACAGCACTAATGAGGCTGCACCTCAAATCCTGTGTTCAGTTTTGGGCCCCTCACTACAAGAAAGACATTGAGGTGCTGGAGTGTGTCCAGAGAAGGGCAGTGAAGCTGGGGAAAGGGCTGGAGCTCAAGTCTTATAAGGAATGGCTGACAGAGCTCAGGGTGTTCAGCCTGGAGAAAAGGAGACTCAGGGGAGACTGCCTCTGTCTCTACAACTACCTGAAAGGAGGTTGTAACAGGGTGGGGTTTGGTCTCTTCTCCCAAGTAACAAGTGCTATAGGATGAGAGCGAATGGCCTCAAGTTGTGCCAGGGGAGGTTTAGGTTGGATACTAGGAAATTTTTCAGTGAAAAAGGTTGTCAAGCATTGGAAAGGCTGTTCAGGGAAGTAGTGGAGTCACTGTTCCTGATGGTATTTAAAAGATGTGTAGATG